CGTGCCCAGGCATCACCCGTTTCATCACGCCCTTGGCTCGCTGCTTGCTGAGCTTGCCTTTCAACACGTCCGAGAAGAGGACCGAGTAGAGCTTCGCCCGAAGTCCCACTTGCTCGACGATCCTCACCGGCAAATATTCAACGCCAAACCCCCCGAGTTCGCCTGCTCTGNNTCTGCTGCTTTTTCGTGAGGTGCTCCAAGACCCAGTCCACATCTTTTTTGCCAACGAGATCCTTTGCTATGTCAAAGAAACAAGGGAACCCACGGCGTTCGTTGGCCTCGGCCATGGCGCGAAGGGGATCCTCAGGAGTCTCGATGAAATAGGTCGCGGAGTCTGTGTCTGTCGACAAGGGCACGGCCTGCGGAAAGAGCTTCTTGATGCCCAGATAATGGTTCTTCATCATCATAAGTCTGGAGAGCTCCAGCACGCGGAAACCGGTTTGCACCAAGCTCTTCTGAAGGAGTACCTTCCCGTGGTTCTGCACGACGCCCAGGAAGTCCTCTTCCGAGCCGAACACGTCCATATCCTGCATGCGGTAGCCGTTTGCTGCCCTCACGAACTTAGCCGCGTCGGTGTAGACCTGGGAGCAGCGGCAGTGCTCAAGACGCTGGATGAGTTTGCCATACATGGCATTCATCACAAGCTTGAGCATCTCAGCCTCCACTGAGCGCGCCTGCTTTTTGAGCTCCAGCCTCTCTGCGTAGCACCGCCTGATCCAAGTGCTAAGAAAGGGCGCGCACTTGAACTTGATGATTCGGTGCACCTTGTCGACGCGTGCGCCCATCACCTCCACCATGAAAGCCAGGCGCTTAGCATCAACGCCCTCTTTGACATGTGCGCCTAGGAAAGGAACAAGCTTCGCAGTTTTGCCGCACTTCAAGCCATTCCTGGCCATCAGCTGCCGGGTGTAGGGCGAAAGCTGGTCTTCTCCAACACTCATTCGGCAGGGCGGAGCCCAATCCAGTTTGTCATGGAGCTCCAAGGGGAAGGAGTAGTCCACCACGCAGAGATAACAAGCCTCCTCGTTGCTGGCCATGTAGTCGGTGGTCTTCAAGGCCTTTCGCAGTCGCCTCACTCGCTCCACTTGCGAGGCGGCGAGCTTCAGCTCCACGCCAGAGTCGATGGGCAAGGGTTCGCACATCGCCGTGGGATACATTGAGGACACGTCCAGCGCCATGATGTAGCTCAAGGGCTTCTCCGGATCGAAGTGATCGCCAAGCTCGGGTGAGTTTGCTCTTCGATGCCCANNCTCACACTGCGACGAGAAAGGCAACCACGGAGCATGGCGTCATAAGCCGCCGAGGGGAGCGAGATGTATTGGACGGGGTCCAGGCCAAACCTCTGGTGGAACACAGACCGAAACGTCTCCATGACGTCTGCCAAGCTGAGATCCATCATCAAGTAGCAGTTGTGGACGCGACGGAAGGTTGCGAAGCCCAGCAACTCACAAGTCTCAGCGAGAAGCTTGTGCTTCTCACTCAGCTCCTCAGAGCTTGCTCCATTCAGCGGGGACTTGTAGGCCTCCAGACTCCAAACAGCAGGCCTTTCCCAAACCTCG